TTATGTGTGTGCTGAGGGTTTAATTCACAGAGGGATGGAGAAGAAAGGATTGTATTTCAGCTGCTGCTGCAGCTACTCCTGAGCGAGGATGACAGTCCCAGTGTTCAGGGGATCAATGATATCACGAAAATTGATCTGTAATAAATAGACTGAGAGTCTGAGTGTCCTGTAGCAGACAGTAAAAATGTAGGCACTATAATGTTATGTGCATTATAGCACAGCATATGCACAATCCCGTCCTGAGGAGGGTGAAGATATCTTTTATATCTCCCACTTCGCTGCATTTCCTGGGGTTTAGCTCTAAAACCACCAGAGACTTGTAATGATAATTCTCAAATGTCAGTCCAATGGCACAAGAGTGTAAAAAAAAAAAGGAAATCTTATCGTGTAGTTTTATTCCTTCTGTCATTAAAAGAGAAAAAAATTGCTGTTTTGAGGATTAGTAACTAGCCAGAGAATAAATCTGTTTGGGCATTATTATTTACAGAGTAAAAGCTAATTTTGCAGTGAATGAACAATTGTATTGGTGCTTTTGGAGTGGCTGCAGCCAGAGCTACAAACATTTGTACATCCAGCTTTAGTTTGAGCTCCTGAGAGTTATGAACTAACACCAAAAGGATAATAAATAGACCACCAGATTTTATTTTTTTTTAGATGGAATTGATGAAGTTTTACTCACAATTCTTAAACCAATATGGTTTTGTTTCTGAACATCAAAGTTCCTGTTGGTGAGACCTTCCAGATGCTGAAAGCAGAATCCCAGTTACAATGGACTAGAGCAGGGTCCAAACTCACAACATCCCAGACTTGTGCACCCAAAACCTTCACAAAGAACATGGCAGGGAAAGTTCTTTTGATATTGGTTTAGAAAGGAAACAATAGTAAAAACTTGCTTGGCTTGAATCCTTACAAACTATGTAAATCTGCTTGGTGGTAACCTGTCCTTACTTACAGTATAATATTTGCCTTTATTTACAGTCTAATATTATCCTAAAACTCAGATGTAATGTCAGGCTATTGAGATGCAGTAGAGGATTAATGTGATTTTTTTAATGAATGGTTACCAGCAAAACACATCTCTGCTGCTCTTCACCCCGAAGAACATTGGGGATCCCCAAGGCCAGACCAACTGGTTTCCAGCCATTCCCATCAAAGTTTTTATTCATTCTCTCACAAGTCCAAAGCATGAATGATCAATATAATTTATTCCATGTTTTAATGATTGGTTTTTTTCCTGGTTTTTACAGTGACACGTGGTGGTCAGCCCAGATTTCCTGTAGGTATAAGCTGTGTTCTCACAGGTTATCACATACACAGGAGTGTTTTAGTGTGAACTACTTTGACACCTTCAAGAATGGCTAATTATGCACATCTAAAAGTCTTTTTCAAGGCTTTATTCATAACATATTGATCCTCCATTGACTCTCATTGCCCTTTACAGACTGGTGGCCACCAGGCTCTTGCTGCCTTATTTGATCTCCACTGATTACCTGAAATGCAATTTCTTTTCCAGCAGAGATCTTTGCAAATTGTGTCTTCCTGCATTACCTCAGGAGGTGTTTTTTCTGCTCTTTGAACCTTCTGCACAGAGATCTTCAAGGGGAAAAAATGGAATTGCATCAAGGGAAATAAAAGACTTGCTGTAATCCTGAGACAAGTTTAGTTAAAGACAAGGAGTTTGCCTTGGAGAAGTTTGATATCTGCATATAAGTGGGAGAGTTTTGCATATCTGAGATGATATTGTCTATCCCACGTGGCTGTGACTCTGTTAATTTAAACAGATCTAGTCATAGCAATTTTACTGACAGTGTAAGAAGTAAATTATTTTTATTTGGCCCTGAGTCCTTCACAATGACTTTCCTCCAGCACATCAGTGTACTTCAGGTGCACAGAATATTCCCAACACACTGATTTTAGCCATAAATATTTTCTCTGAAGCTATTTCTGAAATATTTCTCAAATACTACCTGGAGAGGTAATGTTAGACTTTCTCAATTTACAGCATTACCTGTTTGTATGTGATTACCATGTGCAGATAAAACATCTGGTGATTTGCTTTCAAGCACCAATACTTTTCCTGAAGAAATACTTTTAAATCTACTCAGGAACATTTTGCAGAGTAAAAGTGATGAAATTAGGTTAATACATTATTTATGATGAGTGATTTGCTCAGCTCTATGAAAAGTACAGGAACATCTTTAACCAGTTCAATCAAACTTTGTGAGAGGACGTGAAAGCACATTGTTTTCCTCATTTTTCTCAGTTTCCTGGCACACTGTCTTAATTACTTATTAAGCCTTAACATGGCAAGTTTTCACGTGGCAGCTGACAATAAAAAGCTGTGCCTGAACAGATGAGAAAACATCTGGGCAGTGCTGGGAATTGTGGCTTTGCTGCTTCACTTTGTCTGCTGTTTTAGCCTCAAACTCCTTTGCTTGAGGTTTTTCTGCCTCCTTCCCCCTCTCATTCCCTTTATACGTAGTTCTAACAAAGATATTGCAAGTGGGGAAGCGCTGGAGTGCAGAATGGAGAAGGAATTCTCGTTAATCATGCAGGTGCTCCTCACTGGATAATTCATGGCACATCTTCCTGCCTCACGTAGGGTTTCAGAACTGATTAACCAGCAGCTTTCACCGCCGTCCCACCACATAAGAAAGTGTGGCAATAAAAGAGGAGTCAGCTTCACAGCATCATATAGAGCTTAAATTTCACTGATAATAACAACGTGAACAAGGAAATGTGAGAGATGGGGAAAATATCTCAGGGAAAAAAAAACAAAAAACACCAGGATAAGAAAACAATTCTTCAGACCTAAAACTAAAAAAGCAGAACGAGGTACCAACGAGTGTAACAAATTTCTAAACCAAAGCTGCAAGAGAAAACACTTCAATCCCACAAGAAGCAATTAGAAGATCCTGTGGAAATAGTGCATTAAAAAGATGAGTCTCCAAAGGAATGAACTGATTCTTCCTCATATCTTTCTTTTATTATTGTTCCATGGAATTCATTCCACTGCATATTCTCTCTGCAGTGTCTGAACGGTGCTTTCCCCTTTCAGAGCATTATCTGGCCTCTATTGTGAGGGAGGGATGAATAAGCAAAAGCTTTCAAGGCTGCTGAAGAGGATGAAGTAGGTTTTTATTTCTCTTTGTAGAACACAAAGCCTGTAGGAGGGAAATTGCAAAATATTGTTCCTCTCTAACGGGCGGTGGAGAAGTGCTTGGTTTATTTACTCGTCTCCCACCTGAAACAACCCACAGATTCATTTAAATAAATAAACTTCCACTACATGGCAAGTTTTTATGTGTGGAGTGGGGTAAAGAGAGTAAGGGAAATGAAGGGATATTCTTTTGTGAAGTGGATCAGACCTCTCCCTCTCCCCTTCCCTCTCTCCTCTTGCTCTGCTTGCCTTGTAGAGGGGGCTTGGGCTGAAAGAGTTTGGGCATCTCATAAACTAGGGCACTTAGTCCTTGGTTTCAGACATCCATCACCTCCTAGACCAGCCCCCAGGTGGTTTATAATGCATCTTTCCCTGCAATTCTCCAGTTCCAGTCACCTGGAAGCTGAAAAGGTCTTTATACCCCTGAGTCTGCTCCCTGCTCTCGTGCCCTTGGTGATTCCTGCTCCTCCTTGGAGTCAACTGGAGACACAGCACAAATCTGGGTTAATGGGTTTTATGATCAATCAACTCCAAGGCACATACCTGTCCTATTAATAATGCAAATGGGATAGGATTATTGAGTTATGAGGAGCTTATACACAAATATTAACTGCTAATACATTCATTAAGCTGACTAAAGTATTAATTAGCTTTGATGCTGCTGGATTGCAGAGCACCAGATAGTTTTACCAAGGCCTGCTCAAATTGATTAGTGTGATCCCATGCTGTGCACTGTGTTTCCACAACAGAATTGATCTTTTTTCCTGGATGAAGACAAACAACATTCTAAACCACATTGGGGGATGTTTCTGACTAAGCTTGGTCAGGGGAGTAAGTAAGAGAAATATCCTGCTGGAGAGTTTTATCCTGTGTGGGATCTTTCAGGTCAAATTTAAAGTGGTTACTTTCAGAGTCTCTTTTTAGATCCAAAAGAAAAGTAGAATAAAATATTCTCCATTTTTAAACTGTGCTCACAACAACATCAGTGCAGACCCTTGTTGATGTGGGTATAAATACTGATACTTTAATATTCCACAGGTTTAATAATCATAACTTTTTTTCATGTATCTTTTAAAGGGTCCAAGACAAGGCTATGAGAGACCAGGATATTCCAAAAATCTCACTGGCCTGGGGTCATTTCCCTGCATGTATTGAGGGTTAGAAAAGTTCTTCAGGGTTTGATCTGAGTGAGAGCCACACAGAGATGAACATTTTCAAGGTATTAAAGGATCTTGAGCAAGGAAAATTTCAGATTCCACACAGTTTTTCCCCAACTCTGGATGGCTCATTGTCCCTGCAATATTATCTCATTTCTCTGACTTCTGAAAGTGCCTTTTCATTTGCAGCACTTCACTGACAGTGAGTGACAGTTGTTCATTAACCATTATCTCTTCTAATTTTCTGTGAACTAATTGCGAGGAGCATAAGAAAAGCTATTAGAATATTGGAGCACTGAGGGATAAGAGAAGAAAAAGAGCAGGTCAAGATTACGTTGGGTCACTGCAATTTACAGCAATATTTCTTTGAAGAAATGTGGAGGTCTAGAAGTCAATTGTTAAAAAGAAGGCAGAAAGAGACTTGCTAATATCAATTCACGAATCAATAGAAGTGTCCAGTTTGATAAGAACTTCTATAGCAATTTCTAGGGAAAATACTTACCTTATGACATGACAAGCATCTTTATTGCATGGGTTAAATGAGCCAGTAAAAGGAGAAATATTGCTGGTATATTGGAGCATAAAAGTAGGACTGAAAAACAGGAATACTCTGGCACAAAGCTGAGATAGCCAAAAAAATCAACCAGCCCACAATGAAACCCCTATTTGAGGGGATGCTTACTGTGCAAAGCTGATTTTTGAGGAAGAGAACACGTTTTTGCAATCCAAAGGCATCATTACTCCGGCTAAAGTTTCCCAGAATTCTGAAAGAAACAGAAGTAAAATTATTAAAATTATTGCAAGCTATGGGCAAAGTAATTTTGCTCATATCTGCATGAACATTAACCACAGCAGGAAATTCCTTAAAAAATTAGCTGATTGTGAGCACAAATCATCAGGTTTGCATTTGGATCCCTCATGGCTAAAATTCACTTTTGACAGCAATGAATGAGGGCAGTAAAAAATTGTAAATCAAAATATATACTCCAATAATATCCTGTTGTGTCAATGTGATTTCAATAGCTCTTGAAAAAAAAGTAGAAAAATGTGAGAATCTAATATTCCATATTTCCCTGTCTTTCAGAACTTAGAGTAATAGGTGGATAAAGGCTGAAAAAACAAACAATGACGGAAAAAATGGCCCCATTGCTCACATGTAGCCAAAAAGTAAGATATAGGTGTCTTAATAAATCAAATGTACAGCTCGGGCACAGACGGATTAACAGGTGGAGAAACAACAGATGACATTTCCAACACTGATGGGGAAGAAATATGAGCAGGTTGAGTAGTTTGGACAAGCTTTAATTCAGCACAGCACACTTTGGGAAATAGATGGCTTTTAAAATAACTCTGGAGTGTTTCTGGCCTCCTCCTGGTGCCTGCTGGCCCCTGGGACCGGGAATTCATCCTGCACCGTTGTTAGGATAAGAAAGAGTAAAGCTGATGAGCACTTGCACCAATTTGAAATTATTCTTGTGGCCAATTACTCAGTCAGAGTTGTTCTGGCAGCAGAACACCAGAGCAGAAGTTAAAATGTTAAAATAATGCAACATAAAGGATTTATTGCTGTGAAAAAGGTTCCCCCTGTTTAGGTGGGGGCAGTGGGAAGGGTCTTCCCGAAATCCTTGTGGATGGGACCAAAAAAACCATATCTTAGCCTTGGAGTAGATTAAAGGCAAGTAAACAGAACATCAGAAATATCGGTCCCATAATGAAGGTGGAAGGAGATGGCTTTTCCACACTGGTAACCTTCATCACAGAAATGCAGGATGAGATCATTGGAACACAGATTGGAAGAGTTATGGGATGAAAAACTAGTGAAATAAATCACCAAGCATGGCAAGTGATCCTCTGCAGCCAAGATGGATGTTTCTTTTTTAATTTACCCAAAAGACACAATCTCTCCAGTTGCACTCCATGATCTAAAAGGTCTTTTCAACTTAAACTTTTCTGATTCTCACTGGGATGAAGCTCTAGGGCTCATTATTTTCTAAGACATCCTGCAAGCTATAGACAACTATTTTGCACCATCCCTTCATTGTAAATGGACATCCAAGCAGATTAAAATAAACCCGTTTTATCACTCAGATTTAATGATTTCCTGCTGGGCTTTTCTAATGTCGAGGAGTGGTCTTTTCTTAAAAATACTTACCAGTAAATTTGCCACCAGTCTTTGGTTCCTTCTCCACTGAGATGTTCCCCTTTTCCTTCCAGGTGTTTATATGTAGGGATGACCAATCCAGCAGGAACAACTTTTACCTCTCCTTGAGCTCGGAGTTCATAACACTCTTTGAACATCATCAGCCCTTAAGTGCTGAAACAAGGTGAACATTCAGCTCCAGAAACTTCAAATCCAGGTGAAGTGAACTTGCTGATTAACTCTGTGAATGAAATGAGTACTTTAGTGCAGTGCTAAGATGACAGCAAATGAAAATCTGTCCTAAATTACAGCAAAACCTGCAGGAAATTCAAGGCACCTGCTGAGAAAGCAGCTTTCTCTTTAGCTGGAATGTTTAATCTTTTTGACTCTTGCCTTGTTCTGGGGGAGAGGGAACACGGGTACAGATTTCATGGCGTGGTCATGGCCACTGAAATGCTCATATTAATCTGGATTTGTCTGCTCTGTGACTGCTGGCAATAAGGACAGTTAACATTCCAAGAGCACTTGCTCTTCAAGGAGACTGAAGAGCGTTGGGAACATTAAGCTCTGAGGTCGGTAATTTACTAATGAGAAAACTGATTCAAAGTGAAATTAGGACCTTATTCTCTCCTCCATTGAAGCCAGTGAAAATCATTTTGTGCTTTCCTTGGGCAGACTGTGTGTGGCTTGGGAAAGGTCACACGAGAAATCAACACAAAAATTAGACCAGAAGTCCAACAACCTTTTTGCTTGTTCAGCACAGGAATAACTGTCCCTTACCTGAGTTCTTTGTATCTGAATCCCTTGTCTTCAATGCAGTTTAGAAATAGTCCAATAAATTTAGATTTTCTAAGAGTACATTTCCAAGTTCCTTGAAGCAGTTAAACTTTATTGAAAAACTGCTCTGTGTTGCTGAGACCTTCCTAAGGAATCCAGTTTTCAGTGTGACATGATGACATTGAAGAAGTCACAGTTCAGTCTCCAAACTTGTTATTTTAGAGGTCGTGTTCTCCAAGAACCTGATCCAAACCTCTCAGTACTCAGTAGGAATCTTTCTGCCCTGGGGCTCCCTGGGATGTTTTTCAAGATGCCTCTCTGTCTGGCAATATTTCCAGCAGTTTATTACAAAATTCCACAATACAATATGCATTGCTTGTGTGGCTGGAAACCTTTATATCAGCAGGGCAGATAAATGCCAGTTCTGCTGTCATAATACACCTCAGCAGAGGGGAGAAATAGAGGGTTGTGTTTATAAATTTGATCCATTCACGGCCTAGGGCTGTAGTAATTTAGATATAGGAGTGTTTGTGCCCAAAATCAGCAGAGCATACACATGATTATTTATCTATGTATAGTGCTGGTATTGGGCATTAACACCTACTTGATATAACAGGAATAAACATTTCCTGAAAGAACACGAAGGACACTGGGAAGGTATAGCACAAGCACAGCTTTATAATGAACCTATGGAATATTTATGCTGTGCATTCCACATAAAATATGGGAGAGCTGCCCAAGTAAAGCCCTCCCAAAACAAGGTAAGCAGGACACTTTTATAATGGTGATATAACTGCAGGAGCGTTCCTGGACTTTTATGAACCTTATGTTTCCTATTGGTGTTCCTTCAAATTATATATCACTTAAACATCACTCCCCAGCACAACTGAAATAATAAATGTATTTTCCTGCCATACAGAGCAGAGTTTTTTGCATTATTCTGGGCTTAACAAATTCTAGTGTGCAGTCAATGGCAAACATATTATTCTACTGTGTCACATAAAGGATTATTTCAGATGTTTGAAATAATGCAGACAGTTAAAGGTTATGGGAGAATAACGTTAAAGGAATTCATTGTTTCAGGGCCTGATGGTAATGTGAATGATAAAAAGGTGATGACTATTACAGCCTTGAAGCATTACAGTCATTTTGCTATGATAATAGTTCTCAGATTTGGTTATAGCCCTAATATGTTACCTGAAAGTTAAAATCAGATTCTCAGGTCTGTTGGCACATAATGATCACTTATTGTCTAGAATGTAATTTCTGAAAGAGAATGAGAGTTGATCTTGAGGATAAATCCTGCTTTATTTTATAGTTTTCTTTTTTCTTTTCTTTTTTTTTTTTTTTTTAAGGGCTAAACATGGAGTTTGTACTTCAGAGAAGGAATCAATTTGGGATTGTCATTTTTTGAAACACACTGAGATAAATCTCTCTATTGCTCCCTGCTTTTACAGCTCTTTGGTCCAAGCTATCATGGACCATGGGCAGGGAATGTTCCTGGTGTTAGCAGCAATCCACCAAAGCTGTCAAGTGGCTGAGAGCTTCAAACCAGACCCTACAGGTGGTTTGGGGTTCACTTTTGGAATACTTTAAAGAGACATGTGGTAAAAGAGCAGCTCACAGAAACCTGTCCTGGCTTCTCTGGGGGGGTTCAGTGTTCTCTGTCTGAAGGACACGGGCTCCAAGATGACTTTTCTCAGAGCCATGGAATCCCAGAATGGTTTGGATTGGAAGAGATCTTAAAGCCCATTCATTCCACCCCCTGCCATGGGCAGGGACACCTTCCACTAGCCCAGGTTGCTCCAAGCCCCATCCAACCTGGCCTTGGACACTTCCAGGGATCCAGGGGCAGCCACAGCTTCTCTGGGCACCCTGTGCCAGGGCCTCCCCACCCTCACAGGGAAGAATTTCTTCCCAATATCTAATTCAAACCTACTCTCTTTCATTTTGAAACCATTCCCCCTCATTCTCTCCCTACAGTTCCAGCCCCCCCAAAAGTCCCAGCCTTCCCCTTCCCTACAGGAACACGTTGCAGGAGAGAGGAGTTGGACTCACAATTTTACTCCCCCACCACCCCCAGCACTTGTCCCAGCTCTGCTACAAACACTGCCTGTTCTGACAACATCAGCACTTCACCATCCTTAATGTTTGTTTAATTCATCATATTCCTCAAATAAAGGAATCACTGTGTGGTCACCTCTACCAGTTCAAACTGTAAGATTGCAATCTTAGCCATAGCAAGGTCACAAAATAAAGCACACAGAAGGAGGAAAAGGTTAATAATTATTTGCATTATGTGTAATAAGTGTATAATAAAGTAGAAGAGCTGTGAAAGTAAAGCATTTCTTTTCTATTCTCATTCTCTCTTTGTAGAGAAACACATACAAACACAAAACCCTCGAACAAACAAAAAAACCAACTCAAAAGAATCCAAAGAGAAAGACAAGGACAAGGATTGGGAAAGGATAAGAATAATATTTCAGCAAAAGCTGGTTCCAGACAAGCTGACAAATAAGTGAAATGGTGTCACAATTATGACAATACAGAATAGAAATTCAATATTTGTTCTGTAGTTTGTGCTCTATTTTACAGGACTGGGAAGTGTTTGATTAAAAAGGGAGTCGTGTTCACAGGCTGCATTATTCTTTCCAGATTTCACTTTTATAACTCAGGAGAGTCAAATAAATTTCTTACCCCAGAATCTTTCTGCTGTCCCTGTATTTCTGGAGCTTCACACAGGTGACTGGAAATCAAACATTCAGGGAGATACTGCAGTTAAGTATTAAAGCTGACAGGTTTTATATGGCGAGCACAATAATTGATTCCATGTTATGCTAACCTACTCTGCAGGTTCAGGCAGTGAGGAGAGTTCCATCTCATAGAGGAGTCACTGAATTATTATTTTTTTTAAGGTTTCTAAAAGCACTGAGGCAATTTACATTTCAATTTTCCTTTTTTAAACATTTATAGAGATGAAGAATACAGTGAGCGCTCGTATGGGCAAGAGGACAAATCCAGCTCTGAAACTTCCACTGGGAAAAAAAAACACACTGAAATAGTAAACAAACCAGTAAAATATTTAAAATAAGTTAACTTCTTGAAGGGAGGGGTTGTAGGTTTATTTTTTCTCTTTTTTTTTCTGGTCCATTTACTACCTGCTGGTGGCTTCTTGTTGGAAGGGGGAGCTGGGAAGTGCTTGGCAGTGGCAACAGTCTGAGTGATTTCTGGCATTTCAGAGTTTAAAGGCAAACAAACTGACATTTTTTTAAGCAAGATGTCACCAAAATCCGTTGGCATAATGTCACTGCTGACAGCTTTTGGAGTCACCAACTCTCTTCTTGCTCAGAAGGTGTCCAGGGAAGAACTGAGACTTCCAATGTCCTTGGCAGAAGGGAGTTTTCCTTGGTAGTCCTCAGAGTGGAATAAGAGTTTGTTATCATGCCCCAATATGGAAAATAATCTGTAGTCTAAACCACTGGTTTTTTTAAAGCACATATATCAATATGAGGAAATAAGTGGGATTCAGAGCATTGTTGGACACGATGAAAGTTGCCCAGCTTTCCCTTCCAGGGTCGTTTTCCCTCGTGACATCCCCTCGACCAGTCAGCAGAGGGATTTCAACGTCTCTTATTTTTTCAGGAAGGTCTCTAAGCTGAAAATGAGATGGTTGGGTTGAATTGTCTCCAGCCTTCCCTGGTACTGCTGTTTCACTTCAGAGCATGTTAGACCTGGGACAGAGAGATTCCTTCTGGGACAGCTGCTCCAGGACCTTAATTCACATCCCAACCTCATGTTGTGCCAAGTGGAAAACCACCAACTCCAGGATTAATTCATGAAATACCACCTTTTTACCTCCTGTTAACAAGATATTGCCATGACCCAGTGCCTGTGGAAGTAACAGCATTTCTCCTTCAGTAAGGACCTGTTGGAAACCACTTCCTTTTCCGAGCAGTTTTTGCTGGATTTAGGGTGAGAAATGAGTGTCGCTTTCCTTTTGCACATTAGGGCTGCTGAGCTGGAGAAAATGGGTATAACTTTTCTCTTAATTCCATAATCTTATTATCCTAGCTCCAATAAAAACTGATAATGAAATCTGAGGATATTGAGAACTTGGATTTTTTCCATTAAGTTTAACTTGGTATTTTTTTTCAAGCAATGGGGTACTTACCATAGTCCAACTCTTTTTAAGACTATCCAGGGAAACATAAACCCTTGCAGCAAGCCATTCTCTGTCAAAATTACATCTGACCTGCATATTTTTGCAATTCTCTGATGCATTATACAGTCAGATCAGGTTGTTCCTTGACCAGTTGTTCACCCCTATCAATTGCATTAGCATTTAACCTGTCAGCTTAAATTACAAAGGTAACAAAGGTTTGGGAAGGTTATAATAGACCCAATCTCACACAGAAGTATGGAAGAATAATCTTAAATCATCCTTCGATGTGAGTGTTGTTTTTTCTCCTGACATACATTTACTTACCTTCTAGAAGCATCTCTGGGCAACTTTTTGTGGTGAACACTACATGAGATCAGCAAAGCTTGTCAAATAAGGGCAGCACTGGCAATAAGACAAGCATGCATATTTTATCAGAACTTAGATTGCACCTCCTGTGTCTTTACTCATTTTCTCTTCTATTCCCCATCCTTTTTCTGGGCTAAGTTTCCTCTTCTTCTCTCTCTAGGGATTCTGTCCTTCATTGTGTCTGATTAATAAATTAGGTGCTATTCCACAGGCACATAAGAATAGTATCAAGGATTGGAGTCCTTTAAATCCTTAATCCTTTAGGCTTGAATAGAATCAGAGAATCATTAAGGTTGGAAAAGACCTCTAAGCTCATCGAGTCTGACCATCGAGCAGCACCACCACCGTGTTCACCACCAAACCATGTCCTCAAGTGCCACATCCACACATTTTTTGAACCCTTGCAGGGGTGGTGACTCCACCACTGCCCTGAGTGACCTGTCCCAATGCTTGACAATCCTCTCCATGAATAAATTTGTCCTGAGGTCTTCTCTAAACCTCCCCACACATGAAGATTCTGTGCCTGCAAGAGGGTCAGCCCATCCCCTCCTCAAATCATCCATCATTCTGTGCTGGAGATTTACCACTCTACCACATCAGGTTTTGGGTAGTGTATTTATAAAATACCAAACTATAATCCCAGCACACTAAGGAAAATTCTCTTTTAAACAAGTTCTCTTTTAAACAAGTGAATATGCTTGGAAAAACTAGAAATCATGTTAATTTTACCTGAAACTATTCATATTTCTATAATGCCCTTATAACACATGGGCAATGATGTCAGAATTCCAACTGCAGGTTGCCTGAATAGAAAATATGACATAATTCCTACCACATCTGCCTCTACCAACCTCTCTCAAGCCTTCCAGCACCAGCACAGGCTGCTGAGTAATATAAAAACACTTCACAGCCTTTGGAAAAGCTAAACCAGCACATGGTGGGCCAAAAATGCCCCTGACAGAAGAATTAGAAAAAACCCACAAGCATAAAAGCAAAATCCTGATTCTGTTAGCTTATAAACACATATTTATCTATGTATTTACACATAAATATGTGCACGTATTTATATTATGTGTATATATTTATGTATTTATATATTAAAATGTATTTCTGATATATATACTCCTCTCTTTTTTAATAAAGAGTTTTTACCACTAACATTCATATGCACAAAGCTCCCATCAAAGTTTGCCTGCCTGGAAAATGCAGCTTTAAGACAGTAAAACAACAATATTAAAGGTAAAGCCAGATTGTAGCTGTTACTGAGCTCAGGAAGCACAGCTGAATATTTCTTTTGAAATATGTAGATATTTCTAAATTATTGTTTTCAGTATGTCCAGAACACAAGTTAAAAAGGCTCCAAAACAACAATACCCATGTCTTGAGTTTGAGCAACAGATAAAGGCTAAAAATAATGCTGAAAAACTAGTTTAAGGACATATCTTTATCCAAATGCCAGTGTTCCCCCAGGCAGCTGTGGCACATGGAGTGTGCCATGATGAATGGGCTTTAATAAGCAGGAGAGCAGAGCTTGGCCTACATTGGGCTGGAGTGCATCTGCTGCTGGAATTAGGACCTGCTGGTTTCATCTCCCCATCGAGGAGCAGCTGCCTCAGCCCTCGTGCAGGAGGGGCTGGGGCAGGGTTGGAGGGAAGGCTCTGGGCAGGACATTTGATTGCTGTAATTGTCTGGATATAATTAGCCAGATCTGCAGAGATATTTCAGTGCCTGACTGAGAGAATCAGAGACTCACAGGGTGGTTTGGGTTGGAAGGGACCTTAAGGATCATCTCATTCCACCCCCTGCCATGGGCAGGGACACCTTCCACCAGCCCAGGTTGCTCCAAGCCCTGTCCAACCTGGCCTTGGACACTTCCAGGGATGGGGCAGCCACAGCTTCTCTGGGCAACCTGTGCCAGGGCCTCACTTCCCTCACAGGGCAGAATTCCTTCCCAATATCCCATCTAACCCTGCTCTCTGTCAGTTTGAAGCCATTCCCCTTGTCCTGTCCCTCCATCCCTTGTAAACAGTCTCTCTCCCTCTTTCCTGTTGGCCCCTTCAGGTCCTGCAAGGCCACACTTTTAGGTCATCCCAAAGCTTCTCTTTTCCAGGCTGGACAATCCCAACACTCCCAGCCTTTCCTCACAGCAGAGCTGCTCCATCCCTCTGATCTTCTTGGGGCCTCCTCTGGAGTCGCTCCAACAACTCCATGTCCTCCCTGTGCCAGGTTCTAATCTTTACATTCAGAGAAAAATAAAATAAAACCAAATAAAAACTAGCAAGACTCAAATACAAGAGTGTTTAAAAGCTGTTGGATCATATTTTGACTATGCAGATATTACTTTGAAGCAACAAGGACTGCTGTCCCCTAAGAAGGGAACCCTTCTTAGGAAATCATGGAATACTTCTCTTATCTCAGATAATATCCTGGGATATTTCAAAGAAAAATGATGATTTAAATGCAGGATAGTCCCTATAAAAGCATCTCATTAAGACCTGCACTGCAATATAGTTCATAACTTCTTGGGTGAACCAAACACTAGCGAATCACAGTCCACTTGCAGCTTCTTCAAATATATGTGGAAACACACCCATATCTATATTTGTAACTCAAATTAAAACTATTCTTTCTAATATTGTATTTTCATAAATAAATCCTAATTTAGTTTCTTGTGACACAAACCCAAAGGCAGCCCTCAGCCCTACCAAAAATAAACCCTCCTACCATTTGGTGTGTTTTTCCAATGAATATTTATAGCAGTTCAGGTGTCAGAGACTCTTTTCAGCGGGAAAAAAAAAAAATAGCCTTGTTCAGGTTTTATTGATGTAACTCACGATATTCCTGCCCTTGTACAAAACAAGGTTATGCTGAAGTTGGATGTCAGACTTCATTAAAGTGTGTTCTGGGCATCCTCAACCTGTGGTGCTCGCTGACCCCAGCACCTCTCAACTGATGGACCTCAGCAAGGCTTTCTGCTGCCACATTTGCAACATTTCTGCAGAGTCAGCCAATCAATATTGGTAAAAAAACCCACCCAAAAGTTACCTACCTGTGAATATCGTTGCAATATTCCCAACCTGACGGCTGTGAGTAGAGTTTGCTCCTCCACTTGGGTGGTTTCAAGTCTTTCTTCTTCTTGAGTCACAGCAAGATTTGGAAAATAGATCTTTCTTTGCTTTATCCAGGAAGATAATCCCGTTTGGAGGATGTTATCTTTTAAGCAGAGCCCGTGGAATCATGGATCAGAGAGCTGGGCTTTGAGACTTCCAGCAGAGCTGCGAAATTTGCACAAAATAAAGAGATTTTGTTCCGACAACATCCCCTCCCTTCCCCCAGAAAGAAATAAAAGGGGGGAAAAAATTCTCTGTTTCCTCCATTTCCAGCTGTATTCCCAATACAAATGCCATTAGGTGGTGGATTGGGTATGGCCCACATGCACTATTTATGGTCTGCAATCAAGCTGCAAGCCCAGGAGTTCAGTGCCACTGTCTATCATGAAGTCAAACTCAGAGGCTAAATAACTTCATACCCTGATATTTTGTCCCACCATATATTAGCAAACGTCCCAGTGAAGGCTCCAGTGTCATTTGTTTGCAGTGCTGACCTTCTTTTGAAGTATTACTGGTGTTTGTCACTGCTCTGTTCGTGCTAGCAGAGATTTGCCAGTCCTTGGTGCCTGTGCTATCAAATTGCTTCACTTAAATATTTAAATGGGAAATGGCTCCGTGTTTTAACTGAGAGAGGAATTCAGATGCAGGGGATCTGAATATCACAAGTAGTTCCCTCTGCAGCACAACTGAGGGAAATATTTGTGGAGCTGACGAATCACTGAGATTCCTTGTGCAGCCTTGGGATGTTGATGAACAACAGAATTCCACCCAGAAACTGCACTGGATCTTGGATTAACAACCCTCACCAGCCACAGGTCTGAGGAATTTCACTGGACCCAACCCCTCATAATTTTCTCCGTGTATTTCACATCACACTTTGCCACACTCAGGGCTTTAATTTTTTCTATGATTATGTTTAGTTTTTCTTTTTCTTTTTTTTTCTTTTTCTTCTTTTTTTCCGTTAGATAACTGCCAGAACTGCAACAAAATACAGAAAATGATGAAAATTATGCTTAATCACAGTAAGACCATCAGAATCCAGTAAATAAATGCTTCCCACGATTCCTTCTTAATCCTTAAATTAATGCAATCTTATAATTTTCCTGATATTACTGGCAATCAGATACTCCTGTCAGCTTTAGAAACCCTACTCGTACTGAAGTTCAGCAGGAGCAGGAAACCTGATTTCTGCAGGTACCTGAAAAGTCCATCTATAAAATTAGACACAAATATTAAATATTTTAAGTGATTTAGGATGTCTCCTTTGACAGGTGCCTCTCAAGTCATCCCAAAAGTTTTCTTCCCCCAAAAAATATTTGCTAAGAAGATTTTTGTTGAAAAAACATGGATGTTATTGCTCACTATCTTAAAAATAAATCATGTTGCAGAAAACCATAACTCCCATAACAGATCCATTGCTTGCTGAATACATAAACAAGTTCCAAACTGATACATTGTATGGAATTAACTAATCAGGTGAAGTTTATACCTATTAAATTAACCAATGCAAAACATGGTGCGAATCCCCTTAATTCAATTCCAAGCTGGTTTTATTTGCTTTGGGAAATGTACAAGTAGATACTCAATCAAGGAAAAACACTCCTGTTATTCCATTATGTCTCCAGTTGGTACCTTTATACAAACTTAACTAATTGGGGAAAGAGGGTCAAATAAATAAAGCCCTGCATTTAGATAAAGGCACTGCCTTATCTATTAGAGAGTTTCTGAGAAATAAGAATAATATTGGGGATAGAGAACTGATCAATGTTCCCCTCAAAGTAGACTGGTTAAGTGCACTAATTGAATTAAAAACTCTGAAGATTAGAGTCTCAATTGCAAAGCAGATGTTCTGTACTCACCGACCTGCCAAGGTGGGATATTCCCCTTCACTCTGTTGTGCTTCCATTACACACCAGAATTCCTGGGAGGGTCATGCCCAGCACAAGTGAGAGGCCAAACCAACTAATCATCTTTCCAGGTACTCGCAAAGCACAAATTTGAAGCATCCTTTCCCTTTATCCTCGGGAGTGGGAGCTCCAATCAGCAGCTTCTGGCACATGTTCCTGATGTTCCTCGGGTTCCAAGGTCACAGTGACCCTCGTGGCAGGAATGATCTTGCAATCCCGATGATCTGCTCTGGAATAGGAGTGGGCAGAGATCACAGGAGTGTGTAAATTCGGGTGTGTGAATTTGTCCGTTCACTCCTCGCTCCCCCTTCAGCTGATTCCCTGACATCGCAGGCAGTGGCCAGAAATTCCAGCACGGCACAGAGTGACTGAAGGGCTTGGGTTGGAAAGGACCTCAAAGACCATCCAGTCACACCCTCTGCCATGGGCAGGGACACCTTCCACTAACCCAGGTTGCTCCAACCTGGCCTTGGACACTTCCAGGGATGGGGCAGCCACAGCTTCTCTGGGCAACCTGTGCCAGGGCCTCCCCACCCTCACAGGGAAGGATTTCTTCCCTAAAGGAAGCACTCAGGGCTATCAAAGGTGCCACAACACTCTCCTGTCGCATTCAGTAAAACATTTCTTCGTTGCCTCATATCAAGGTCTGTTTCTGTGCTGCAAGACCTGCTCCAGAAACCTGTGGAATGTTCTTTGCAGGAAGCTCTCACCACACGTGGCACTGGATCAGTGTGCCAGGCACGTGCTCGGCCCGAGGCTTCCTGGCTGGATTTTGGAATGAGATGAAGGAGCTACACACCTACCCCATCACCTCCAACTAAACAGCTGTCTGGGTGGCTTCCAGGCTTTTCCAGTGGGCTGTCCAGAGGATACTGAGGTGACAATCCCACCAGGGAGGGCTCCAGGGGCTGCGGCAGCAACTGCACATCCCGGAAAGCGATGGCACATCCCGCTCCAAAAAGCCAGGATGACGTGATGCCCAACGTGACCCAGAGCATTCCAGAAGCCTGCTGACGGTGTCTTTTCTTTTTTAGAAAATGGATTTACAAAAAAAATACGTAAAGCCTCAGAAATACCGAGTCATCTGATCAGTGCTAAAAATACCCCCGCTATTTGCATCGGGAGAAAGATGTTTACATTATCAACGACAAAGAGGTTACAGGAAACTCTTGGATTTCTTGTCAGTGTACAAAGCTTAGAAACAATATTTTGCTGAGCTGAATGTCTTTTGTATTTGCTTTTTAAAAGAGTAGCTGCTTTGTATTTTAACCATGACCTTTCCATCTGTCGGGTCAAGGATATTGGCTGACCATAGAGTTCAAAGGAAAATAATTCCCGTCAGACACTGCATTTTATTTTTCTCTGAAAGACAGCTTCAGCCTTTGGCTCCTAGTCAAAATTTTAAGGATCTATAATCTTATGATCTTATGATCTATGATCTTAGTTTTTGCTGAAGAAAAATGAATAATTGTATCTTTTCCCTAAACTGGAAGTCTCTTTCTATCCAATTTCCTACAACCCAGTCTCACCTAAATGCAATCCCTGTGTTAATAATACAGACTGTATAATAATTAGAGTCACAAAAGTCATGGAGCATTTTGCTGTGGAGCATAGCTGTAAAATAAGTGGGAAAAAAATAAGTGGGGAAAAAACAGTAGTTCAGATTCCTCAGTCCATAGTTAACATTGTGTCTTTACTGAGAAATATAAAGGCACCATCACAATGAGATGGTGACATGGATGTCACAATAATTCTGTCACAGCTGGTACATGTACCAAATCATCTCATTCCACCCCCTGCCATGGGCAGGGACACCTTCCACCAGCCCAGGTTGATCCAAGCCCTGTCCAGCCTGGCCTTGGACACTTGCTGGCTTTGATTTCTGTATAACCTTAGACAGCAGGTGCTTTAGTCTCTCATGAATGGTAAAATAAAAAGCAAAAAAAAAAAAAAAGAAACTAAGGAAAAAAAATAGGAAAACTTGTGAAAAGAGGCAGAGAAGGTAAGGCAATAAGTTCTGCAAAAGGGAACCTGTTCTGCTAAACCCAGTTCTCTGGGGCAGAACTGAAGCGGATGAAACACATGTTGGCATCTTATTGCTTAGTTTTTCTTTCTTCCCCTTTCTTTATCATAAAGTGAAGGAAAATGTTCCCTCTCCCGCCTCAGATCCATCCATCAGACAACAGATCAGGAAAACTGTGTCAAAGAAGAATAGTGTTGGCAAAGCAATAGAAATTCCTGAAGAAACACCTATATGTTGGCTTGATAAATTATTTCTTCATTTCTATATTCATCCAAAACACGTGTATTTTCACGCTCCATTGAACAGAGAAATACTGTGAGTTGCCACAGAAAGCTGCTATTAAGTTATTTTTCTTTTGCTGAAGAGGTTATTTGCTGGGGCTTTTCAAACCTTGCTGTCCTTCCTGTGCCCTACTGAGCACAGGGGCAAATTAATTTTTTAAAATGCTTTTAATGGAAGATAGTTTCAAACTTTACTCAAACTGAAGCTTTTTCTCTGCACCAGACTGCATTTCCAAACTCACTTGACAGGATCCTGATATTGCAATTGTGCAAAATTCAAAGAAAGTCATGATTAAAAACGGATCAATAACACAAAAATATGATGTTCAGTAGAACAGAGGCCAAAAGGAGACGCTCAGAAAGATCCCAGCAAAGCTTGGCAGGACCAGGGATGGGCTGGAATGTGCTAAGGAAGAGCTGAGACATGAGCAGAACCCCGAGCTCAACTCTCTGGCAGGGGATGATGGAAACCAGCTGCTCTCAGGAAAGCAGAGGACATCAAGAAGACAAAAACCAGGCTGTTAATGCCTTTTCCATTGAGATGCTGCTTTTCCCCTCAGTTTCCCAAGTTTTCTCTGAGCAGGAGTTTGGGTTTCGGCAGTGCAGCAGCAGGGAAGTTCCCCACTGAGTGTGGATTGAGCTGCATTTCCCTCCCTAGGTTTTCAACAGTTTGCAGAGAAGTTATGAACGAGACAGGGTGTAAATCTGTGATCTCACATTTCCACCCACCAACACTCTCCCTCTTTTTTTTGTCAGGTCAGTCAAATTAATTGGTTTCAACTCTTTTTTTCAAGTGGAAGTTCATTAAAATTTTGAAAAATTGCCATCACAAGAAAAAGCACAATCTTCAGTTAACAGTGTCAACCTGCTATTGCACTGGCTTCTTTTTCTTCTTAATTGGATATGTTGAATCAAATTCTGCTTAGCAAACAGCTTGGATTTGGGCAAATCAGCATTTTTTTCCAGTGGGGGAAAAAAAATTATCAAGAAATTCCCAACCATCTCAAATAATTTCCCAGATGTGGTGGTAGCTTAATAAAGTTGTAGCCTGTTCAAAACAGTTTTTTGTATGTTTAAGGTTTTCCTGAGGTGTCAAGGGACAATCAGTCACCATTTGTGCTCAATAAACTGGGAGATGATACTCCAGGAATCGATTCAGCTCTGCAGAGATTTGAAAGATGTGCATTTATTGGAGAAAGCAGTAAATAAAAATAAAGCTTCACTGGGATTTAATTGAAGTGCCCAATGGGTGAGTTTGTACTTGTATGCATAAATAACTTAATTATAAATAAACAAGCCAAAGGAAAGGGAAAATTGTAAACTTAGCAAGTATTGACTAATACACAAAAAATAAGGCCAATGTCATCAAGTTGTGCTCTGCTATTCTAATTCTGTATTAATTTGCATAAAGATCCTTGCTGATTGGATGCAGATGAGTTCTGACTCCCCACTCCATCGGGAAGAATCAATTTGGGGATATTATAGACTAAACCAACATTTTCCCAGTGTGTTCCCAGTGTCTGTTGCACATCTCAAGGTCAGTGGCTCACACAGGTGAGTTCCAAAGGACTGGCACTGTGAGTACACAGAAAGTATTAGGAATAATATTGTCTCAATATTGAGTTAATGCTATTAGAGGTATTAAAGCCTTTCTGAAGGCTTCTTGGACAACTCACAATTAACATTTCTTCAATCTTCTTAAATTATCAAGCACTGTGAAAACAGACAAGGTCATTGTTTTATCTGCAATAAAGTCAAAGGAATTGCTGGAGATATGGCAAGAGTATTACACATATAATTAACACTGTGGTAATTTATTCAATAAAGCTCTCATTTAATTACAGGGATCTATTACACTGAGTGGTGTGGTAGGGGTGATTTATAGCTCAGATGTAAATATTCAGAAAGAGGCCTCCCCTAATGAAAGGAGCTGCTCTCTGCTCTCCATCCATGTCCCACTTTGCTGTGCTGGTACAATGTACAAGATATTAGAAGGAAAATCTTCCCTGGGAGGGTGGGGAGGCCCTGGCACAGGTTGCCCAGAGAAGCTGTGGCTGCCCCATCCCTGGAAGTGTCCAAGGCCAGGTTGGACGGGGCTTGGAGCAACCTGGGACAGTGGAAGATGGGCAGGGGGTGGAACGAGATGAACTTTAAGATCCCTTCCAACCCAACCCATTCTCTGACTCTCTGATGGAATCAGCCCCTAGCAAGATGGCAGTGATAATTTTGGAAGGACTGAGTGTCACCTGACGCTTCCTTGCTCTTCAGGAGTGTGGCCCTTGACCACCAGCCTGTGGTGAGCTGTGACATGTGTTATGTTGCTTTTTCCTGTGTTGATGTTCCCTTCATCAACAAACAGTGAAAAAGTTGAAATATGTCAGCAAACCTGTGCTCTTTCTGCATCCATCAAGAAGCTTAATCAGAAATTATGAAGGATGAAACCATACTGATCTGTGCTGCTGGAAGTATAAAAGGGGTCTTTTTCTTAACATGGACAAATAAATATTACTGATCACAAATAAAACGTTTCTTATTGGGATAATATTGTGTGCTGTCTGCCCTCTCTGCCCTTGGGTTCTCCCAAATCCAACAGAGACTCTGCACAAAGCTTTAAACCCCAGGGCTTTCAAAGGCTGGGATATTTAGAGCTGCAGTAAGTCACTGCCTCTGCATGAACTACTCCTGGGCTGTTTTACTACCAAAAGCTTGGCAAATCACTCTATTCCTTAAGTCTTTTCCTCCCCAGATCTCAGCGTTCACACAAACCCAGTCGAAGGGAGCCGTTTGTACGTGAACATCACACATTCCTCAACATCCATCGCTCACAAAACGCTCACTTATGTTATCACAAATTTAAACAACAACAAAAACTTCAAACCCAGTCAAAGCCAGCCGTGTCAAGCTGACAGGAGTTGATGACACTCATAAAAGGAACAGCTTTCTAAAGAGACATCTTTCTCGTGGAAAGTGTTCGCCAATTGATAATGCAGGTAATAGTCAGCACTCCAGATCTGTGCTGATATATAAAACTGCTGTCAAAACTGCTGCCTTTATTGACATCATCATGAATACTTTGCTCCCAAGGTAAAGACATTATTGTCAGAAGCAGCTGAAAACATTACAGAAGATATTTCTCAGTTTAACTATGTAAAAGTGTGTTGTTAGAAACTCGTCAGGATTCCTTAACATCAGAAAAAGACTGAAAGAACACCACTCACAATAGAATGTCTCACTTAAAATATCCAAAGAGCGTTTTAACTAGGAAAAAAACCCACTGGATTGGTGTGACTGGTCACTCCAGGCTCTGGCAAACCAAGCTGTGCCTGCCCACATCACATCTCACGTTCTCTGCACAGCCCTGGCTGGGGGTCTGACAGCATTAGAGAAATCCAATGGATTGAAATTCCCTCATTTGGTGAGGAAACTACTGAACAAGAGGCTGTAATAACAAAGTCTGTTCAGCCACATACACCCCTCACAAAACTCTGGAGTGCTGCAGTGTCTGGGAGCAGCAGGTAACTGTGAAGGAACAGAGCACAAAACCTACTGTGCCCATTGCTACAACCTCCTTCAGCAAACACTGAGCACAACAGAACCAGAAAACATCCTGAGTTGGAAGGGACCCACAAGAATCAGTTCCAGACTGTGCACAGGACATCCCAACAATCCCAACATGTGCCTGTGCATGAAAGGAATAAACCATTGCCTCCCTCAGTGCTGACCTTATTTAACCTTGCCTTATTTTGGCAGATGAAACGAGTCACTGCAAACCAAATCTGCAAAAACATTTCAACAATTTGCCACTGAGTGGAACCCAAACCCAGACACCTTTGCTGAGGGACAAGCTCCTGTCTGAACCCCGTTGTCCCAGTGACCCCCTGCCCTGCTCAGAGCCAGCGGTGCCAGGGCTGATTCACCCTGTCCCCATCCCCGGGACATTTCATCCCACTCAGCTCTTACCTCTAATCTAATTTGACTGAGATGAAGGAACCTCCTGCTCTCCAGAGATCGATTCTCCTCGAGCGCAGCACATAAATGAATATTTTACAAGCCATATAAATGCAGCCCTTTCCATTTTTCTTTCCCAGCTGTGCCGTAGGAGGGCAGACACTGGGACCAATTTACAGCGTTCAGCTGCTGTCTCAGGAGCAGGCAGAAATTCTGAGCCCCTCACCAACCTCCCCCTTTGGAGGGCTCACTCATCAGCTCCAAAAATAATATATGCTGCTGTTGAGTGTATAACTTTTGATATAATTTTAACTCCTGCTCATCTGTAACAGCTGATTATCAAAAATTTGTGATATACAAGAAAACACCTTCCTGAGGTTCTGAGCATCAGTGGTCTGTGGTGACCTCTTTGTTGGGAAAAATCAATCTGAACCAACACTACTGATGTGTGAAACCTTCTTTAATAAGAAAATGCTCTCTACATATGGCTACATTCTTTAGTGTCTAGTGGTCAATAGCTAATATGATGTACCTTAAACGTGGCTACAGGGAATTAACACTTGGCACCTGTGGATCCCACTGCAATCACCCTTTGCTTTTGACTTCAAAGGCAATAAAAAAGTAATACTGAGATCAAAGACTCCCAGCACAATCAGAGGTTTTGAAGTTGGCAAACCAGAGAAATTGGAGGCATTTTAGTTTGTTCTCTCTTGTCGTTTTCTGAACTCCTGAATACTTTGAGTCACTGTTCAAAGTTCTGATATAAACTTAGGTTTTGATGCACAGGGATCTGAAGATGCCAGGGAATTCCAGATTAATCCATGCTGACAGCAAGGGCTCTCATTACCTTTCCATTGATTTTGAAGATAGTTTGCAAGGTTTGGGGAAATAAATAAGCTCTGTTCTCTGTTCTGATGCTACAGAAGCTCTGCTACTTGGGGCAAACAGTGTCTTTTCAAATATGTCTCTGTAGCATCCTTATATTTGGGTGAGGCCTGTAAACACCCTCCAACAGGTGTATGAGGAGCAGATCAGTCAGAATTCTGAGCTCCTTTGCACACTGTTGTTCTGCCATTTTAGCTCTCTATTCTTGGAGTTTTATTCTCTCACTGCTTTATGGATGTTTGTAACCATTTGCTCATCGTCATCCCTGCCTGAGTGACACCTTTCCATCCCCAGGACACAGGTGCCTATCTACTCTTCCTCTTAAACCTTCACCAAGGAATATTTCCAGTCCAACTTTCTTTTCTGATCGATAGATCAGACACAAGTATCGAGTGAGACATTCAGGAACGGATGGTTTCCCCATGCACTGTGACAGCTGCTCAGTTCCCTATTTCCTGCTCCATTTCTCAAACCTCCTTATCCCTTTCTATATATAAACAATCTTTTCCACTTTCTCATCTACTTGCTCTTATCAACATTGGTTATCTTGCTTCCTCTCAGGAAAATTACCCAGCTTTCTACATGATGGATCATTTCACATAGACAATTGTGCTTATTGAGAAATTCAATACTTTTAACTTCTTGCTGAAGAACCATTTGTAACCAAACTCCCCAAAACATGATGAATGTTCCCTCCTTTTCCCCAGTTATTAGATGGAGCAGCAGACACCGTTTTCAGGCTTTCCTGTGGCACAGGCTACATAAAACATCCAATATTTGCTCAATTACCATGACATCTCCATGCTTAATATTCCAAACTAACTATTAAACTTCAGTAGCAAAGATTTTGATCTGACCTTGCAATCCATATTATTTAGTGATCCAAAATCATCTCAGACAGCGCTGTGAGACCTGATCAAGCCAAATTCCTCTTGAAAAGCAAAATATGGGCAACCAGAGAGCCAGTCCCTCAGAGCCAGGCACAGGGGAGAAGCTGTGTTGAAGTTCCTGGAGCTGTGGAACAGAAAAGCTGTCAGCACTCCATGATTCCTGAAAGTCCCATCACATTACAGCTTGGAAACTAAATTGCTTTTCATTTATGAGAGATAATCTGTGAATGTAGAACCACACCATATTAACCCCATTCATGCAGAAAACTGTCCTGGGCAAGTAAAGGCATTTTAAATTTTGGCAACTCTCTGCATATCCAGGGGGCTAAAGGAGGGCAACCTCCTCTTCCTGCACTCCAGGGCCCTCGTAAAACAGGCTCTATAGAGCAATAAATCTGCTTATTTTTGTTATGGTTCTCTCCTCCCTCTCTGACTGCTTCTGTTTTCTTTTGGAAGGCACTTGACTGTACCATTCCCTGTCTGTTTTCAGCATCATAAAATGAAATTCACTTCATTGATCAGAAGATGACCTCTATCCAGTGCCTCTTAGATTAGAGATAACAGCAGGCTGCTGTCTCACTGAGAAATAATTTCTTCAGCTTCCCCAGCTCCTCTTTATTATGATTGCTTCCTAACATATCACTTAAAAACCGGAATGGAAAACAAATGAGAATTTCTTCTCCCAGTGTTTGTATTTTGACTTACCAACAAACACAGACACACACACTGCAGCACTCTGTGCTTTGGAATAATTCATACTTTCCTGTGGAAGATGAAGAAAATATTTAACTGTAGACAAATGAGCTGAGGAAAGGGGTAAAAATGGATTGACATAAACCCTACATTTTGCCTGAGAGACTTTCTGCTTTAAAGCAGGAAAAATGGTAGATGTACATTCATGTGAAATTTAAACTGTGCATATTCAGGAACAGGTTTTTAAATATCAGCAATAAAGATCATGTTGGAATACATTATCACATTCTGCACTGGAGCATGTGTTACATATTTATAACAAGGAAAGCGTGCAAGACTAATCATACACTATGAATAATGCCATGTTTTTACAGGCACATTTGCAGTGTGTTATCCCAGACATTCCCTTCTGCTGGGGACAGGAGGAGGGAGAGGCTCCTCCAGCACTCAGCATCCTCTGCAGGAGGATGCCACCTCAAAGGTGTGAGGTGTGCAGTGACATTAATTTGAAAACAGGCATAAATGTGGGTATTATTGCAGTGATTTCAGGCCCTCTGCTGAGCTGTGGGAGAGGTTCAGTTGGCAGCAAGTGCTGCACTTTGTTCCCAGAGTCCTGGAAGTGATGGGATTCCTGGAGGGCTTGTCAGCCTCAGGAAAGCCTCTCAGCTTCAGTCTCACCATCCTTCACTTCCCCTTGGTGAAGAATATGCTCTTCAGGAATAAAATAAACTGCTCTTTTCCTTCCCTCCCAACCAAACTTTGCGTGCCTGAGACACTGCAGTGGGCTTCTGGCAGCTGAACTTATTTTATCAAGTAATATATAATTAAAGCTACACAAATCTGATCCTGTATTACACTAGTACAGATGAAATACTACATGAATATATCATCCAAGTAATGCCAGTTTTATGAGCTGTTTGCCCTCACATGAGCTACTCAGCAGAAGCCCTTTCCAGTGTACCGAGCCTTTTTTCCTTTATTTAAGGAGAGAGAGCTTTCAAAAGAGGGAGAGTGGAGAGGAAATATTATTTATTCCTGGCTGTGATGTGTGTCAGTGCTGCTCTCATGTGGTGGAACAAATCTGCCCTCATTTTGGAGCATCTTCATGCAGATTGTCCTCCAAGGAATTTAGGCTGAGCTTACAAGGGTGAGCGCAAAACAAATACTGGGAGTAGTTCTGGTCCTGGTCTAGTGAAAGGTGGCCCTGCTGTGGGGCTGGAACTAGATGGCATTTAAGTTGTCTTCCAACCCAAACCATTCTAGGATTCCAAGATTCTATGAGCAGTTCTGCAAGAAGGGAATGTGCTCAGAGGGATTAAGGATCAGCTACCTAAGGGTTTGCCCATAAAACACATCATTTTTTTACTAATATTCTCCACCAGTAGATGAAAGACAGCCTTTAGAAACATTGATAACATATCCAGAATGAACTTTTTGTAATTTGCTGGACAGCTGTAACTTGTTTTAAACTTAAATTTTGTAAACAAACTTTGACTTACCCAGGCTTCAAAACCCAGAGCACATTCCCAGGAGAAAGGAGAAGCTCTTCCTCAAGGTCAGTCTCAACCATGGATTTGTGGAATAAAATCTGAGCATCCCTTAAGTAGGAATACATCATCTGGGAATCATCTCTCTTTTGTCAAGAAGGAAGCCCTTGGGAAAGGGACTCTGCTGTTCTCCAGGGTTGCACCAGGACTGAGCTCTGCTGTGAACTTGCCCAACATCCCACTGGAATAACACCAACATTAACTCAGAAAACTCGTTCTGCACAAAACTTGCTGAGCACCCAAACGTGCCACTAAAATTCCTTGTGCCCCATTTTCAACAAAAGACACTGGAGCACCTGAATTGCCAACACCTTTGTCCCCCTTTCTCCTCAGATTCTCTGGTGCTCATAGAGTTACCTTGAGGTGGCCAATCCACCAGGCTTGTGACATGTCTCAGTGCAGCCCCTGCCATTGTTTCAGACAATTTTATCTGCTCTGTGATTTTCCCAGCTCCTGAAAGCACACAGATAAGCTGACAGACACATTTGCTGTGTGATACTGGCTCTGCACTGCTAATATTGGCTGTTGCCTGACATTTTATATAACAACATTTATATAACAAAAGTTCCTGCCATTTCTAAGTTATGTGATGCACCACACAATTCAAACCCAGCCGGCCCATTTTCTCCCCTTATCAACTTAAAGCTCGGGATGAATCAAGTAATATCAGAGAAGATAAATTATGCCACTGTTTATTTACAGTTTGCATCCTGCAGTCAATGTACCTCACGCAGGCATTGACCTGTGGAAGAACTGGAGCAGCACATTATTTTTGCAGCAGTAAAATTGATGGAAATTGATGATGCCTGAAAAACACACAATTATAGTGTCTTGATTAAAAATGGAGCACATTTCAATGAACTTTTTCCCTTCTTCTCGTGATTATGATACACAAGTACTAACATTAATGGTATTTTTTTATATAATGAACCATAAAATTACAGTTGGCAGTCAAGAGCACTCTAGCAGATAAGTAAGGCAATTTTCCTCATCATTTTTCCCTTTGTTGTCAATCTTGTTGCATAGCCCATTGCCTTTTCAATGAGCTGTAATGTGAATATTCAAGATCTCACTTTTCCCCAGTGTATATATTCCAGTTGAAATAATTCAGTTTCATGTCACCCATTTTAAGAGGTTTTATTAAACAAACTTCATATTTTTGGGTTTTCCACCAGTCCTAGGACTTGCCTGCACGCTGACAAAGAGAACAATGGCATTGCAATGGCACAGGCTTCAGGCAGATCTGCAAAAGTGCTTATTGAGCTTACTGTGCAGACAGGCTTAAAAGTTTGGGGTTGATTTGGCTCTAACATTGTCTTTCTCTCGTTACAGAAGGGTTTGTGAAGTTTAGACATGTTTGAATACTCATCCTGTAAATATGACAACCCAATTAACTACCAGTTTAGACTGAACTGAGTTACAAGGAACACACATATAGGAACCAGCTCTCCTATTAAAGCATTTTAGGAAGCATTTACTCCCTGTTATTGCCAATGGTCTCATAATTTACAGCTCTCAATGTAAATTATTGTTGCTGTGGTGTGAGAAATAAGTAGAATGTTGTATAACCTCGTCTGTGTCTTACATGGAGTAAAATGGCAATAAAAATTAATATTTTACGTATCTTGGAGCTAGAAAAAAAACAGATGTGAAGTGCTCTTGAGGGGAATTATTGTTGTCACTTCCCACTCCATGCAAACTAATTGGATACTCACAGCTTCCTCCTCCTCCAGCAGTGGGATGAAGTCCAGGTTATTCTGAAGACAAAAAAGTTGGTGAGTGTGACCTTGTCCACAGTTTGCAGTGCTGGGTGAGAAGGATCCTTCCCAAAACGAGTTTGAAAACATCCTTTTTCTGTCCCTTGGCTGCAGGATTTGTTCAGAGAGCTCAGCACTCAGGGAAGGAGATGATGTAGATAGCTCAGATATGATCAAGATCAACACTTTATCATCACAGCAAGTTCAGAGTCATGAGAAACTCACGTGGACGTGCCCAGCCCTTGTGCCACGTGACACTCAGTCTGATTTTGGGCTCTTGTGAACTGCCAGTTGCTTCCTGCTTCTCCCTCAAATCTCTCCTGATCACCTCACCAACCTTCCTCTATTATTTGTGATTTGCCAAGGACAGATGTTCTTTCTTCTTTATCTGAACAAGACATCAAAATGTTGGTGGGTTTTGGTATCTCTTAATCCCTGAGAACAGCAATAGCACAGTCAGACAAAAACATGATAACTCTCTTTGTAAATAAGAATTACAATTACAAAAGTCTGCCCTGAAGTAACACACAGCAACTCCTTCCTGCAGTTCATTGCTCAACTCGCTGCCAAGCTCCAGTCCCTGGCTCCATTCTGGGAGTTAATTACACAGATTCCAGCAAAATTTTATGATTCTGTAGCTTTGCTTTTTCCCCACAGACTCTGGAGCAAATACTACCAGTCACTGCTACTCAAGAATCACAGGATGGTTTGGGTTGGAAGGGACCTTAAAGATCATCTAATTCCACCCCCAGCCATGGGCAGGGACACCTTCCACCAGCCCAGGTTGCTCCAAGCCCCGTCCAACCTGGCCTTGGACACTTCCAGGGATGGGGCAGCCACAGCTTCTCTGGAATCCTGTGCCAGGGCCTCCCCACCCTCACAGGGAAGAATTTCTTCCTGACATCACATCTATCCTGCCCTCTCTCAGTTTAAAATCATTCTCCCTCGTCCTATCAAATTCAAAACCTGTAACTTGGATATTGTGCAATGCTACTGAAATCCCTACATTCATGGAATTATTGTAGCTCATTTTGTGCATTTGCTTCCAGATGTCTGGGAATTTGCAAGACTGTGCATGCAGTCCAAGAGTGCTGTTAAAAGAATTTTTAAAATTCAAAGGTTTCATCAAAGGCAGATTGCTTTATTGTAACTTATAGTAGTGAAGATAATTAATCATTATGTCTCATTACATTTTGTCAGATCAGCCTCCACTAAGAGATGAGGTACCACAAAGTAAATAATCTGTGGAACAACAGCCCAAATTAAAGGAGGTGACCCTTATTTTCATTTTGGATTTCTATCATCATGTGAAACATAACTCTTATCCTGGGTAGGGGGGAGAAAACCAACCCTCCAAGACCTCCTACATGGCTGATTTAAGTTTCTTGCAATTCTTAACTTAATTGAATTTAGGGCTACATTCTGTGGTATTTAAACATATTAAAATCTCATTGACTTCAATGGGAGTGTTATTCAGTTAAAAACTGCATTACTTCAACTATTTATTGAGCTCTACTTGAATAAACACACAGACTCTGATGGCTCACAGAGATCTCTACAAACACAGGAAAAAAAAAAAGGAAGAAGAAAGAACCAACTTAAAAAAAATTATAAAGAACTGAAAAGAAAACTGATCTGTAAAAAGTGAAAATAAGACATGAGGATTGAACAGCACAGATTGGAGCGTGAAGTGCTGCATTTTCAGGGGTGCAGCTGTGATTTACCCATCCAAACCAGAGCATCTGGCAGCTGAGCAGCTGCTGTGGGTTCAGTGAGGAGCAGAGGGTGCCACAGACCTGCCTCTGCTCCCAGAGCTCCTCTTCATCCAGGAGCTGAGCCATCAGCACGGATAAATCCCCCTGATGGGATGAGAAACACCTCCTTTCTCCCACTCCTTGCAATCAGCACCTTTGTTTTCACGTTCCCTCAGCAGCTGATCCCCAAATGCTTTGAGTCTGCACAATCTGAGACCTTCTTTCAGGCAGAGATATTTTTTAAGGTTTGTGAGTCGCAATAGGTTTGGAAAATGAGCCAGTCTGGGATTCCCTGTCCCTGCCTGTGAGCAGAGTCATTGGGGATTGGGTTTATTGGTTTGTTCCTGCAATAATGTTTGTTTTGTTGTTTGTTTTTGTTTTGTTTTGTTTTTCCCTGTGGGTTCCTACCTGCAAGAAAAATGGAGAGGCAGCTTTTAGTGGGTCACACCATAATTCTTCCAAAGAGACTGCTGGGAGAATTTCTCAGTGCTATTAATTCCCATTAGGAGGAAAGATGAGGTCCAGATTTGAACATGCAAAGTTTGCAAGAAATTGCAGTGAAGAAGGGATGCCACCTTCCTGGTGAGAAGAAGCTGCTGAGACCACGCTGGTTGCCTCTCCAGGTGGCTTGGAGAGCCATTGGTTTTATCCAATTTAAAGGGAACATGGAATGAACTCCCAGGACTCATAGAAGTACTTACTTATATTAACTGAAAAATTGCCAGGCTGATTCTTCAGATTTCAGCTCCAACAACTGCAATCCTTTTTAAAAATGATGCTTAAATATGCAGTTGATCAAAGCCAAGTTTTAGAAAAAAACACCAGTATGTCCATCACAGGCAACTTCTAATCCCCAAGTACCAAGAACTCACTGTTCCTCAGTGAGCCAGGTTTCAAGGGTAGGCTGGTTCTGTTGTGTAAAGGCTGGTATTAAGCCAGAAAAGTCTACAAAATAAATCAGAGTTAAGATGGATAGCAATTAAATTTTGTTGTGAGGTGTGAATGACGAGATCTGTGTTTCTGATGTAGGACACAAATTGGTGAAAAGGGATCCAGTGTGAGAAAGAAAACACGCTCTGATATCGTTTGGTACCTGCCCATAGAACTCTCACAAACAGTGAAAGTGCCTAATCTTGGCTCAGAGAGGTCAGAACCAAATCCAGGGCTGAGAAATGAAGAGTGTCAGGTTTGCAATGAGTTGATGCAGCAGGAGGTCAAGGCTGACAAAGCAGCAGCAGCCCAATGGCTCAGATATGCCCATTGCTGCATCAGTCTGCCCAAGAGAAATGAAGGATCTGTCAGCCAGCCCCAGCCTAAACAATGCAACAACTGAAACTGGAGGGGATCATACCCTGAAGCAGTTTGTTTCATACTCTACAATCGTGATAAAGAAAATCTCAATTTTTCTCCATCAATTCGGCGTGTAAATGGGAGTTTCAACCAAAATCTTTCATCAGAATAAAAGTCTCGTGTCAAGGACATGAACCAAGTTTAAAGCTCAGAGGAACAGATATGAGATGCTAATTTGGGTTTGGTTGTGTGACTAAATAAAATGCTGCCAGTTGTACTGTCCATTTGGAGGCTGACAGGAACAGGGAGTAGAAATACCCCCTTCATATGGTGCTTAGCAGCAAGGCAGAAGATTGTTCTCTAAACCAAATTTATGCACATGCCCCGATGAGATAAATTGCATTTTAAATTTATTTCTACAAGTAGGAGATGGTTATTCAGCTTGTAAACTATTCCTCCTAATCAGAATCTCTGCTCTTTTGGCCTCCGAGGTAACAAAAGGAGCACACAAGGATCATTATTTCTCACATTTTCACTAATGTTTGCTCTTCTCTTCTACTGAAAACATCATGGAGGTGTTCACCATGAGCTACACGAGTAGAATTGCAAAGAGACAACCTCACAAAAAAGAAATCTGAACAAATAAGTTGTAATGTGTGTGTTCCGCTACATAAAAGTGGTGCAGGAACAGTTAGTGTGTGATAAAGCCATGAAGTGAAAGAAATTGGAACTTAAAATTCTCACTGATCCACTCCAGCTTCACACTTCACTTATAGATTTTTATTTCCACTCTTTCATGAGTCTCTGATCTTATGATTTTCCTTCCCATTTTGCAGATTTTAATGAGTCTATCAAGGCATTTGTATAGCACTGAGGAGAAGGTTATGCAAAGTCTGGAGTGAATTCAAATTGATTCTGAGTACAAGGCACTTTAACTTCATATCCATCTCCCACTA